AGTATGTGATAGGGGGCAAGCTGGGCTGAGGGAACCCCCTCCCCAGTGCACAAATTTTTGTGCACCGGGCCCCTAGTATAATATATAAAAGCCTAAGTGACCGGCCAACCGGTCAATAGCTATGACGCACAATGAGCACTAGGGGCAGATGTTCAATGCAGGAGCTGCCGAGCAACAGCAGCTTTGCAGAGAGCCCTCCCGCACTCCGGGACCCCTTGGGGATGTTGGACTGCGGGTTTTGAACCGATCCCTGCAGGCCAGGCCAAGGGACCCCACCTGCCAGAGGGACACCTCCTCACTCTGCAGATGCCCTTTGAGCCCCAGCACCGCCCCTGGTGCGGCCAGCCTGGGAGGGACTGCAGGACATTGGCTCCAGGGCGTGTCCAGCCTGTCTTGCCCAGTCCTGCCCTGCTGGTCACTTCTAATTAATTTCCTTTCAATGTGCACAAATCCATGCACTGGGTCTCTAGTAATGTAATATAATTATTATAATTAACAATAATTATGTTTACACATAATAATTATTATAATTAATAATGATTATTACAATAATTATAATTTTTCTCTCCACAAGATGCTAAGCTCCTTTGAGGGCAAGAACTGTGTTTTTTCATCTTTGTAACACTAACACTAACTGTAGCATTTGAAACATAAGTACAATAAAGTTGAATTTTAAAAAAAACAGCCCTAGCTGGTTTTCTCAGTGGTTAGAGCATTGGCCCACGGACTGAAGGGTTGTGGGTTCAATTCTGGTCAAGGGCACGTACCTTGTACTTCAGTTGCAGGCTCAATCTCTGGTCCTGGTTGGAGCACATCTGGGAGACAACCAATCGACACGTCTCTCTCACATCAATGTTTCTCTCTCTCTGTCTCTCCCCCTCCCTTCCTCTCTCTAAAAAATCAATGGAAAAAATATCCTTTGGTAAGGATTAACAACAACACAAAAACAAAACAAGAAAAAAAAAAAAAAATCCACCACCAAATAAAAAAATGGACTAAATATTCCTTGAGGACCTGAGACCAAAATTTGTTTCAAAGCCCATGTGACTCCTTTTGATTAGCTCTATCATACAATATTTCTCAAGAGGTACCAGCATTTGAGTGGGATGATTCTATGCTATTCACCACTATTCTGAGTCCTGTAGAACATTTTGCATTTAAGCATTCCTGGACCTGACCTCACTAAATATTAGTGACTAGAGGCCCAGTGCACGAAGTCATGCACAGGTGGGGTCCGGCCAGCCCACCCCAATGAGAGCTGATCAGGCCGGCCAGTGTGGGGAAGGGGCCGCGGGAAGTTGGCCGGCTGGCCCGGCCTAAAAAAAACAGGGGTAGGGCTGGCCGGGGGGGAGGGGCTGCGGGCGATTGGGGGGTGTCAATCAGGGCCCTGATCGGGCCAATTCACCTCCCCAGTGCATGTCATAGCAACCGGTCGTTCCGGTGTTCTGGTCTCTTGGCTTTTATATATATAGAGAGAGAGATGGTTGCTAGTCATTGTGACAAACCCAAATTTCCAAATGCCCCTCCTCCAGGAAAGGGGACAATACTTCCTCCCAGTTGAGAATCACTGCTTTAGAGAAAAGAGTTAATATACTATCAAATGTCTATTCAGCTTGAATATTGTCATTCTATCAGCATTTGACAATGTCATCCCATTGAATCTTCAGAGATTTCCAAGTATAACAGAGTATACGCAAAACTTTAAAAACAAAACCAAAAAGAAAAAAGTAAAGCATATAGGGATACCTCTTAGCCACATCACTGGGCTTCTCCCCTGCTTTGTTGGTAATATTACTGTCTGCTCCCATTTTAATTATCCACTGCAAACATTCTATGTGGCCTTGTCCAGCAGCTGTAAAAACAAACAGAAAATACACAAAAAGTTGTTACTAGTAGCAACTTTCCAAACTTTGAACACCATTAGAGAGTACTTTCATAAATACTGATACTTGCAATAACCAATAAATTGGGCAGATGTAATTTTCTCCATTTCATTTATTCATTCATCGGACAAACATGTAATCAAATATATACTGTACTCATCACCTATACAGAGAACTTTACATACAGATATAAAAGTTGAGGTTCAAAGAAGTTATTTCTTTAACATCACACAGCTAGTAAGTAATGGATTTGAAACTATAATCTAGTTTTTTCTAATCTTATTGAGTGTCTGTCCGCTGCTATTGATAGCTCCTGACCAATCTTATATCACAGAACTTATTCCTCTGACCCTCACAACTCAAAATTTATAGATCCCCAATTACCTAAACTATTTACACCTTTTTCTAAATCTTGTCCTTAAGACACATGCACTCGATATTAATTTTCACCTCCATAACACTGCTTATGTGTCTTCTCACCTAGTGCCCATCACTCAACTTGATTAGCCAATGAAAAGGGTAGCGGGTCGTCGCTAATTACCATGTTTCTCTTTTATTAGTGTAGATAGAGAGAGATGGTTGCTAGTCATTGTGACAAACCCAAATTTCCAAATGCCCCTCCTCCAGGAAAGGGGACAATACTTCCTCCCAGTTGAGAATCACTGCTTTAGAGAAAAGAGTTAATATACTATCAAATGTCTATTCAGCTTGAATATTGTCATTCTATCAGCATTTGACAATGTCATCCCATTGAATCTTCAGAGATTTCCAAGTATAACAGAGTATACGCAAAACTTTAAAAACAAAACCAAAAAGAAAAAAGTAAAGCATATAGGGATACCTCTTAGCCACATCGCTGGGCTTCTCCCCTGCTTTGTTGGTAATATTACTGTCTGCTCCCATTTTAATTATCCACTGCAAACATTCTATGTGGCCTTGTCCAGCAGCTGTAAAAACAAACAGAAAATACACAAAAAGTTGTTACTAGTAGCAACTTTCCAAACTTTGAACACCATTAGAGAGTACTTTCATAAATACTGATACTTGCAATAACCAATAAATTGGGCAGATGTAATTTTCTCCATTTCATTTATTCATTCATCGGACAAACATGTAATCAAATATATACTGTACTCATCACCTATACAGAGAACTTTACATACAGATATAAAAGTTGAGGTTCAAAGAAGTTATTTCTTTAACATCACACAGCTAGTAAGTAATGGATTTGAAACTATAATCTAGTTTTTTCTAATCTTATTGAGTGTCTGTCCGCTGCTATTGATAGCTCCTGACCAATCTTATATCACAGAACTTATTCCTCTGACCCTCACAACTCAAAATTTATAGATCCCCAATTACCTAAACTATTTACACCTTTTTCTAAATCTTGTCCTTAAGACACATGCACTCGATATTAATTTTCACCTCCATAACACTGCTTATGTGTCTTCTCACCTAGTGCCCATCACTCAACTCTATGTTTATCTGACTTCTACCCATCCTTCTAAGTCCATCTCAAGACTCAGGGAAACTGGGGCGGGGGGACTTAATAAACTTAAAAGAGCTGAATTTAGGTCTACTAAACAATGAGACTGGAGGACAGAACAGAATTTAGCAAGTGGCTGGCACATACAGACCTGCAACAAATGTCTATAGATTTGATGAGTGAATGAAGAAAAATAAATAAATGAAATCTAAGCTCTGCTCTTACCAACTGTGTAACCTCAGTCAAAAAACCTGGTTCCTCTAGACCTCAATTTTCTCATTTTTTACACAGATAATTTCATATTTATAAAGCAGCAGTTATTTACACTGCTGGCTTATAAAATTACAATAAGGATTGAACATGACAGTTTTGCACCCTGTTAAATGTTATATAAACATAAGGTGTTATTTATGAATTCCCATGAATATTTCCTCAATAATTTAACCCTCAGCAACTTCTGTTCAATTTCTACTCCTGAATTCCACTGCATGTATTTTAACCACCAAAAACTTTTTGCCATATATTACATCCTGACTTATACAAATCTCTAGTTGTTCATGGTATAAGTATATAGCTCCTTAACAGTAAAGTCTGGATCTCACGCGATTTCCATGGTGTGGGCACATGACTGGTACTGAATATATATGTACCTCTGTAAAATAAATCAGAGCATGAACTTTTGGTATGGCTTGGTGTCTTAAAAAGTTAATCTACCTCCAATACTTGGAACAGAGAGGAAAGGACACAAAGCCAGATCCAATGACAAAGCAAACCTCATCACTATAGCCCTATGGCCCAGCTTACAAAAGGTCTACTAGTATAAGCACTCTTTTCCTACCTTTCCCGAAATGACTCAGGTCCATCTTCCAAACTCAGAATTGGCCCCTGAGGAGCCTGGGGCTTCTCTTTTCGCTTCTCTTTTCTCCTACAGCAAATCCGAAATAGCTAACAAAGAATACTACAGGATTTCCCATACCTATAGACATAATCCTACTTTAAACAAAAACAGCAACATCTTTTCTCTGTAAGAGTTACAAACCATATTTATGAATCCTGAACAACGGTGAGCTTTATAAAACAGAGTTTAACCCAACATTTCCATTTTATTACACAGTTAATATTACGGGGGGGGGGGGGGGGGGGGCGCTAAGTAATTTGTCTACAATGAAATACAATAAAAGAATTTTTATCTAAGATCCTTATTATATATTGATTAGAAAATATTTATTAATTGGACCAATGTTTTATATGAGAACAAGAAAAATTATGCAGTGGCTAGAAATTTTTAAAAAATGATTTGAAGCCCTGCGGACTGAGGGGTCCCGGGTTCGATTCCGGCCAAGGGCATGTACCTTGGTTGCGGGCACATCCCCAGTGGGAGGTGTGCAAGAGGCAGCTGATCGATGTTTCTCTCTCCTTGCTGTTTCTGGCTCTCTATCCATCTCTCTTCCTCTCTGTGAAAAATCAATAAAATATATTTGTCTCTCTTCCTCTCTGTGAAAAATCAATAAAATATATTTTTTAAAAAATGATTTGAAATAATTAAGGCTTAAAAGTAAATGAAAGAGAAGTCATAATAGATTTAAAAATCATTAAATGACGGATACTGCAGCTTATTAACTGAATCAAAATTAAAATGAAAGAAAAAGAAGCAGATAGACTGACAACATGTTAATTAAATTATAAGGAAGCTTTTATTTACCCAAGTTGGGTATGATTTAGCATACAGATACTCCACAGAAAAAAAGATAATGTACACAAAAATGTCCCTTCCCCCTGCTGCAGCCACTTACCACCCCTCCACCATACCATCTGATCCACCCAGGAGTTCTTACGGACAAACTGACCAGAGAAGGGGTGAAGGGCAAACCCTTTTGGTTCCTCTTCACTTTCACCCTCTCACCTTCTCACAAAAGCTGTAACCCAAACACTCTATTGTTGTACATCAATTTCTTTAGAACCTTCTTCCAGTTCCCTCATTTCCATCTCAGTTCAACTGGTAAAGAACTGACTGACAGGCTGAAAACCATCTGGCAAGTAAAACTTACTTTAATGTATCATTCCTCCAAAGATGCTTTATAAATACTGTGAGTGAGCCTCTCTTTTGCTTCTCATAAATGACACCCCACATACACACTAGGAATATAAACTGGTTATAGCTAGGTTATAAAATGGGGGCTTTACTCCAGGGCAGCACATTTTTTAAAAACCACAATCTTTTATGCACATTTTAAGTATCCACTCCATTCATAAATCCCATAGTGAAAAGCTTTAATGCCTAGACAGCTAGTAGAGATGGATGGAATGAGATTCTCCAAACTACAGAATAGCATTTACCAAAGTGGGACCCCTCTATGTATAAGAGAAACCCCTATCACTTCCCCTTCTTTCTGCCCCAAATACCCTTTCTCTTATAAAACTACTAGAAGCCAAGTGCACGAATTTGTGCACTAGTGGGGTCCCTCAGCCTGGCCTGCGGGATCAGGCCAAAACAGGCTCTCCAACATCCCTTGAGGAGTCCTGGATTGTGAGAGGGTGCAAGCCAGGCTGAGGGACTCCACCGGTGCACAATCAGGGCCAGGGAGGGACGCAGGAGGTTGGCCAGCAAGGGAGGGACCACAGGAGGGCTCCAGAGCATGTTTGCCAATCTCGCTCAGTCCCAATTGGCCAGACCCCAGCAGTAAGCTAACCTACCGGTTGGAGTGTCTGCCCCCTGGTGGTCAGTGCATGTCATAGCAAGCAGTTGAGCAGCCTTTACATATCATTAGCATATTATGCTTTGACAGGTTGAATGGCCAACCCGGTAGACCAGACACTTAGCATATTAGGCTTTTATTATATAGGATTGGTACACATGGTGCTTAAGATTCTTAAGATACATTATAAATTAAATAAACTTTAATGATTAAGCTAAGAACCTAAACAACAGTAACATTATTTCATAATTTATGAAATAAATAACAACCAGAAGTTATTTATGAAATAAAATCCTATTCAAACACAGGACTATATTAACAAGACTACTGTCTTTTTATTGTTGTTGTTAATCCTCACCTGAGGATATTTTCCCATTGCTTTTTAGAGAGAATGGAAGGGAGGGGGAAAGGGAGAGAGAGTGAGAAACATGGATGTGAGAGAGACACATGGATTGGTTGCTTCCCTCATGGTCCCTGACCAGAGCCAGGTTCAAGCCTGCAACCAAGGTACATGCACTTGACTGGAATCGAATCTGGGACCCTTCAGTCTGCAGGCTGGTGCTCTATCCACTGAGCCAAATCAGCTAGAGCAACATTACTCTTTTTACTCTAAGACTTTTACAAGAATACCAGCCATCACATTATAAAAAAAAGTATAATATCACTAATAAAGCAAAATAGAAATTTCAGGTGCTAGAGGTTAAAGATTTGGCTTTTTATTTTATAAATAAAAGGGATATTGGCAATAATAAATCCTAGAGATATACTCCCTGCACTGAGTTGACAATCTGACAAGGTCTGATTAAAAAAACAACAAAAAAACATGGATCAATCTTTTAGAATTCCACATAGAAGGAAGGAGAGTGCAGAGAAAAATTGCACATATCTAGAAAACGTGTTCATATCATGTTAATTGATATTTCTATAGAAGAAAAAACATTTTTGCAGAGTATTAGAATAAAGAAAATTCTCCTAGAGGTTGCTCGTTTGATTCCCCATCACATACCCGGTTTCAGGCTCAATCCCCAGTGGGGGCCGTGCAGGAGGTTGATCAATGTTTCTCTCTCTCTCTCTCTCTCTCTCTCTCTCTCTCTCTCTCTCTCTTCCTTTCTCTATAAAATCAATAAAAACATTTTTAAAAGATAGATATGGTTTTAGCATGAACAGGCCATTTTCAGTCCAAAGAAAATGTTACTCCTAAGAAACTTCTCTAACCGTGAATTTCACATCTTAACTACATGACAAAATCAAAAGAGAACTTCTATTGGAATTACCCTCAAATGTGAAAATGTGTAAATATCTGACATCATAAAAGGAGTATCATACTTGAATTAAAAATTAAGCACTCTGATCCTGGCCGGGTAGCTCAGTCGGTTAGAGCATTATCCTGATACACCAAGGTTGTATCCCTGGTAAGGGCACATATAAGAATCAACTGATGAATGCATAAACAAGTAAAACAACAAACTGATGTTTCCTTTCTCTCTTTCTCAAATCAATTAAAACATTTTTAATTAAAATAAAATAAAATAAAAATTAAGCACTCTGCCATGCATTTTCATGTGTTTCTGATGGGTAATTATTTTAAAAGGTAAATAATTCAATAGCAATTGTGTCAGAATTGAAAATTAAACAAGAATCATAGGTCGCCCTAACCAGTTTGGCTCAGTGGATAGAGCGTCAGCCTGTGGACTCAAGGGTCCCAGGTTTGATTCCGGTCAAGGGCATATACCTTGGTTGAGGGCACATCCCCAGTAGGGAGTGTGCAGGAGGCAGCTGATCGATGTTTCTCTCTCATCGATGTTTCTAACTCTCTATCCCTCTCCCTTCCTCTCTGTAAAAAATCAATAAAATATATTTTTAAAAAAAACAACAAAGAATCATAACTCACCTTTATGCATAGGAGTTGATCCATTATTATCACGTTCATTAATATTGATTACGCCATCTTCTATTAATTTCTTAAGCATTTCCAAATCACCCTTAAAGGCAGCCACATGACCTGGAAATGCTAAACCTATGAATAAAAAATTCAGCATTTCAGTAAACACATGAGCTAATTCTTTTTTCCTGCCTTAAGCGGGTGCACATTTTAGATTTCAATATTAACTGAAGTATGAGAATGTTATATTGGAATTAGTTCTGTTAACAATAAAGTAATAAAAAGAGAACCACAAAATAAGATTAGTAGACAATCAATCCAAGAAAAATGGGCAAAAGAATTAAATGCACACTTCATAAAAGAACATATATGAATGCCCATATAAAAAGATGCTCAATATCATTAATCATCAGGAAAATGTAGATTAAAATCACAATAATATAACACTTCACATCCATTAGAAAGGCTAAAATGAAACATGACCATATCAAATGTTGGGAATTCCATGGAGCAAATAGAATTTTCATGCGTATCTGGTGGGGATGTAAAGTGATATAACTACTTTGGAAAACAATTAGACAACTTTTTAATGTTAAGCATACACCTACCATATACTCCACTCCTATGTATTTAACAAGAAAAATGCAAACATATGTCTATGTAAATGTTCAGAGCAGATCTCTATTATTAATGACTAGAGGCCCGGTGCACAAAATTCGTGCATGGGGGAGGGGGAGGTCCCTCAGCCCAGCCTACACCCTCTCCAATCTGGGACCCCTCGAGGGATGTCCGACTGCCCATTTAGGCCCAATTCCAGCGGGATCGGGCCTAAACGGGCAGTAGGACATCCCTCTCACAATCCAGGACTGCTGGTTCCCAACCACTCGCCTGCCTGCCTGCCTGATTGCCCCTAACTGCTTCTGCCTGCCAGCATGATCACCCCCTAACCACTCCCCTGCCAGCCTGATCGACGCCCAACTGCTCCCCTGCCAGCCCGATCACCCCTAACTGCCCCCCTGCAGGCCTGATCGCCCCCAACTGCCCTCCTTTTCAGGCCTGGTCCCTCCCAACTGCCCTCCCCTGCTGGCCTGATCGCCCACAACTGCCCTCCCCTGCAGGCCATCTTGTGGGGGCCATTTTTGACCACATGGGGCGGCCATCTTGTGTGTTGGAGTGATGGTCAATTTGCATATTACTCTTTTATTAGATAGGATAGCCCAAACTGAAAACAATCCAAATACTCATCAGCAGGTGAATTGATAAAATATATACATTCATACAATGGAATACTATTCAGAGATAAAAAGGAATGAACTACTAATATATATAAACACAGATGAAATTCAAAATTATTCATTAAAAAATCAAACTAATCTATATCAGCAATTTTCAACTGATGTGCTGCAAGAATTTTTAGAACATGCAATACCTGACTATTTAGTCAGGGGCATTGACCCCTTTGCCCTTAGACTGTCAAATAAAAAAAAAATGACAACAACCAACACAATAATAGCTGTCCAGTGTGAATGAATCAAAATTATACCTATATTCTTTGTCAGATGTTTCTCTCTCACATCAATATTTTTTTCTCTTCTTCCCTCCCTCCATCTCTCTCTCCCCCCTTCTCCTTTCCTATCTCTAAAATCAATAAGCAGCCGGCCAGAGTGGCTCAGTTGGTTGAGCATGGTGCTGTGCACTGAAGGGCTGCTGGTTCAATTCCCAGTCAGGACATGTTCAGAAAGCAACCCATCCGCTTCTTGCATCAATGTTTCTCTCTCTCAGCATGTCCTCCAGTGAGGATTTAAAAAACAAAACTAGGATACATCTATCAACCTAATCTAAAAAATATGTCATAGCAGTTAAGTCATAAAAGGATACATACCCTTGTATGCCATTTTAATAAAGTTTTAAAAGAAGTTTCAAAGATTGCTAGTTGTCTACTAAAATCCCTTCCCTTCATTAGTAAGCGAGCTGCAGCTGAGATGAGGCTTCTCATCTAGGTGGCGAAATTTCCAGGCTCCTAGTTAATACTAGTATATGGCCATGTAACTAAACTCTTGCCAATGGAAAGTTAGCAAAAGTGATGAGTTCAAATTAGACTTTGAAAAATCTCTATTTCTAGGCATATATTCTTTTTCCCTCCCCATCTCCAGCTGGATTAGCAATGACTATTTTATTCTTAAATCCAATGGTATGAAGATTGCTCATTATATTAATCTCTGTACATTTCTGCCTAAAATATTTCTCAATAAAGAAAAGAAACTGTATAAATATATGGACAATGGTACATAACATATTTTAATGTTTAACTTACAACTTCTTTCTTTTCCTTTTCAATTTATTCTACATATTAAATGCTACAACATTTCAGGTTTATTACTTACTTTCCTGATCTTTTGGATCATTTCTTTCATACTCAGCCCCCTGGATAAACTGTAAAATGTTCTGCTTATAGAACCTCTGGGCCAGGTCCAGCACATTTTCTCCATTGTCATTGAAGGCTTTTAAAGCTTGTGTTGCACTGTTCATTCTATTGAGTAGAAATTTAAAACAGTGAAGGTGGCCTTCCATGGCTGCTAAGTGAACTATAGGTGAGAGAGAAAAAAGAATTTCATTTTTAAATTGACAATAAAAATAATCATAAAAAAATAAATGATACATTGTCTCTAATCCTCACAGGGACATACTCTGAGCAAAGAGAATAGATGTTTTTCCAGCCTACATGTCCTTACTCGGCCTTCTAGTCATGCCAAAGCAATACTTACTATGAGTGTGGAGAGGCCAGAGGAGGCTCACCAAAGAGCAGGCCCCAGAATGTTTTCTTGGAAAGTGAAATCCCAGTTATGCAGCTTATCATTACATGAGAAAATGCTTGCTATGTAAGATAGATAAATAATAGACAAAATTCTTAAGTATTTTGCAAAAAAAGGGGAAGAAATAAGCCAAAATAGTCACTATGCCAATATGAATGATGTTATTTTTATCACTATGTATTTTGTCAATTTTCCATAAACATTATCTACACTAATAAAAGAGAAACATGGTAATTAGCGTATGACCGCTACCCTTCCCATTGGCTAATCAGCATATCCTTATGCAAATTAACTGTCAGCCAAGATGGCGGCCGGCAGCCAGGCAGCTGGAAGCGAACATGAGGCTTGCCTGCTCCTGTAACTGCAGACTCCAAGTTCCCCGCCTGACTTGCCGGCCTCTGAGTTGCAACTCTAAGCAACTATGTACTATGTTGCAAATAAGAAGCTAAACAAAACCCCAGAAACCAGCTTTCAGCCTGCCGGGATCTCAGAGCTGAAGTTATACATTGTTTCGATTATAGAACGGCAAACAAACCAGATACGAAGCCTCAGAGCTAGAGCCAGAGCTAAAGCTGGCCCAGAATAAAATAAAAAAAAGAGAAAAAAAAGGAGCGGTTGGGAGCTTCAGTCAACAACCGCCAGCCTGAAAGCAGCCCTCAGCCCCTCACCCAGACTGGCCAGGCACCCCAGTGGGGACCCCCACCCTGAAGGGTGTGTGACCAGCTGCAAACAGCCATCATCCCCTCATCCAGGCTGGCCAGGCACCCCAGTGGGGACCCCCACCCTGAAGGGGGTGTGACCAGCTGCAAACAGCCATCATCCCCTCATCCAGGCTGGCCAGGCACCCCAGTGGGGACCCCCACCCTGAAGGGGGTGTGACCAGCTGCAAACAGCCATCATCCCCTCATCCAGGCTGGCCAGGCACCCCAGTGGGGACCCCCACCCTGAAGGGGGTGTGACCAGCTGCAAACAGCCATCATCCCCTCATCCAGGCTGGCCAGGCACCCCAGTGGGGACCCCCACCCTGAAGGGGGTGTGACCAGCTGCAAACAGCCATCATCCCCTCATCCAGGCTGGCCAGGCACCCCAGTGGGGACCCCCACCCTGAAGGGGGTGTGACCAGCTGCAAACAGCCATCATCCCCTCATCCAGGCTGGCCAGGCACCCCAGTGGGGACCCCCACCCTGAAGGGGGTGTGACCAGCTGCAAACAGCCATCATCCCCTCATCCAGGCTGGCCAGGCACCCCAGTGGGGACCCCCACCCTGAAGGGGGTGTGACCAGCTGCAAACAGCCATCATCCCCTCATCCAGGCTGGCCAGGCACCATATCTATAATAATAAAAGGGTAATATGACCGGAGGTCTTCCGGATGTCATTCCGGACATCCTTCCTGATGAAGCCAGGTTTGGAGGGAAGCCAGTCCAGGTCCCGGTGCCTGCAGGTGGCCTGAGGGAAGCCAGCCCGGGTCCTGGGTGCCAGCAGGTGGCAGGAGAAAGGAAGCAGCCCAGATCCCGGGTGCCTGCCGGTGGCAGGAGGAGGGAAGCAGCCCGGGTCCTGGGTGCCAGAGGGAAGCCGGAGCTGGCAGCCAGGGGAAGGAAGGCCTACTCTTGCACAAATTTTCATGCATCGGGCCTCTAGTCTACACTAATAAAAGA